TAAAAGTTAAACACATGTTGAAGTCACAATCTTCCATAATATTTTGTTTCATAAAATTATATTATCCTATATAAGCCACTATTTTAGGACTCAAAATACGAGCATCAACATACATTCCATCAATAGCTCATGTATAATCCTAATTGAGAAGATTTGATCAAAAATTGATAAAATTTTATAAATTAGATAATTTCGTAACAATAGAATCTACCTTAAAATATGATATATATCGACTATCATACAAAATCTCAATTGGGATATTTTGAAAACCATGATCTCTAATCTCGATAGTAATACTTGATTATCTCATTAAAGCTTCCAATCCAATAAAGAAATCTCTATTGATCGCCATTCTTGAATGTTGAAATCACTAATATGTCAACCTTATTGACTCATTATGCAACAAAAAATATAAAGTGGCCACAAGTACTTCACATGTTCTTGTCCTTAATGAGCCATATAGACAATCACAACAAAAAAATCACCAATTACTGGCGGAATATTCTGACGTTCAATTTGCCAACGATTTTTTGAAGGAATATAATGAGAGCAATTCCAACGAAACTTTCCGACAAAAATACTTATGCAGAAATTTTCTGAAAAATCATATATTCATAATTTAATAAAACAATAATTTATATTTTATTTTAATTACTTATTAATTTCAATATTTATTTTAATTAATTATTAATTTAATAAATTAGTCTAATTTATTACTAATTTAATAACTTATTTAATTATTATTAAGTTAATATTTTATTTTAAATAAGTTTTAATTATAATTTTCATATAATTATAGTTTAAATTAAAAAATAAGTAAAAAATTTGGCTCATTTGCCCTTCTAACAAATTGGTTGAGATTTTTGAATTTATTTCAGCCACAGTTCAAATCCCATGGGCTACAAATAGGCAGGGCGGGCGGGCAGTGTAGGAGGGCAGTGGGCAGTGTGGGAAAGCAACTGGGCAAGTGACCTCGGGCAGGATGGGCAGCTTCATTTTCTAAATGATTTTTTTTTTTCAAAATTTTTTATGGCTATATCCTCCAAGAAATAATGCCCCTAAAAATAACCGCTAGTTTTAGTTTCCTACATGGTTTATACTGGTAGAAAAAAATCCACCAGAAAGCTGCCATAAAGTTTAATTTTAGCCAGAAAAATCCACCAGTAATGGATGATTTTACTGTAGTGCATGAACACTTTTTACATTATATAAATATATTATGAAACATCGCATAATGTCCTTGTCATGGCTCTCCAATACTTATCTCTAATACACTGTTGAAAAATAATTATTTTCTTTTAAAGTTCACGCAAATTTAGGGTGGTCCTATTCTCATGATCGAATACAACATTGAGAATAGAATACTATACTGAAGGATAGAAACAACAACTTTCTATAATGGATTCCAATATAAGAATATGGTTTTAAAAATCAATTAATTTCATAGTCAAATACAAATAGAAGAATAATATATTATCATGAAAGGTAAAAATGTCATTTTAAAATAATATTTAAGGATAAAAATGGGGTTTGAAAATTCTCCATTTATGTTATATAACAACGATACTATCATATCACTTCATAAGATAAAGATAATATTCTATTAAGTGATTTGATATAAAAATGGATTTTATGAAATCAGAATGTTCCTAGATATTTTCTCCTATATTTTGAGAGTAAGATATTTTTTATTTTAATCTAAAATTACATGTTCTTTGTAAAGGTAAACCTTTTTGGTTAATCCCATCTTAGAAAAACTAAATCTCCTAAGAATAATTCTTTTTGGAAGCCAAAGGATCGAAGGTTAGGGAGCACATTAAGACTCTAGGACCTTCTAAAAGCACACTAATCTATCATATATTGGGCTTTAATATTTTAGAGAAGATTTTATGTTTAAATTAATATTTTATTAGATATTTGAGATTACCTTCCATGTGAGTGGTCTACGTCAGAACATAGATCTAATCTGAGCACTACATAATTATAACCCAACATATTCTAAATGCAGTGTATGAATTTGTAAAAATCTGTTAGAAAATCAGCAGGAAAGCCGTCGGAAATCCGATGAAAATCTATCAAAAAATTAGTCAACAATATTTCATTGTAATACGTTGGAAATTTGTTAGAAAATAGTTCACTGGAAAATCCGCAAGTAATGGCTAATGTTCCTATAATGCACTATCATTTGGTTTAGTCATTTAACTTAATTATGTATTGCGCACATGGTAAGATTTGATCTATATTTATCACTGGAAAAGAAGTACATGTAATTTAAACTCTTGAGTTTGGTTTTAGAAACTTTAATTTTAGGATAATTATGTCTAATGATGGATGATAACAATGCATACAACTTTAATTTTCATAGATGGGTTTGATACATGCTAATTTGTAGTGATTCGTTTGTCTTCATCAAAGTTTATTAAACATGCACATCTATAAATATAAAAAAAATATTCAATCAAATGTTTTAATGCAGTTGAAAAAGCTATGAGGGGATTTATTTCTTCAAAAAAGCATAACTTGCAGTTAAACTGGTGTTTTCATGCAAGCTAATATTGAAAAACTAGTATGGAAAAATTAAGAACAACTAAAGTAGCAAGAGATGTCACATATAAAAACAAAATATCCTTTATCAACATCTCGTTTCTCTAATAAAGTTGTCATGAACCGCCTAAAATTAGGTTATTAAGTAATGTGTATGCTAGTGTGCCTACAACAATAAAATGTAGCATTATTATAACAATGTTCACTACCTTGTAATATTTCTTATTTGATAAAATCATAAAATGTTTATATCAAACTCTATTTTATAGACAAAAATATGTGGAAGTTATAGAGCAATTTATGCATCATTTTTAACATTCAATAGTAAATGTAAATTTAAAACTAATGTGGAAGAAAATAATTTGGAATATGAAATTAGGAAAAAGTAGAGTTAGCGGCTTTGGATTCATCTTATGGACTGGATTAGGAGGAATTAGGTGAAAGTTGAGGGAGTTAGGGAAAATTGATTTTGCTGCAAAAGAACAATGTTGATAGAGAAATTGAGGAGTTAAACATAATTCGTAGATGTCGAATAAGCAATTAATATGGGAGTTCTTAAGATCGCAGATGATCAAAAGCCGCAATTGCGTAGCTAAATAAGATTGGTGTTAGGAGATTCTCATGAAGGGAAGAGAAATTTTGATACATGCCTATCTGAAATTAGATGATGAAGCTCCTGTGTTGACGAGAGACCTCTAATCAACCAATGATCAACCAAGCAGGGGATGCAACCCTTGTGTGGATGAGGGAACTCCGATCAACCGAGCAAAGGATGCAGCGAGGAGAGATTATGAGGAGACTAGAAGGATGATAGTCATAGAAATGATCAAAGGAGAAGCATTGAGCTTTTCGCACAATTTTGGGGGCATTTGTACCATTTTCAATGTTTGAAATAGTGGGAAGCTATCGAATGAGGGACGTGTTCATCGGTTGCAAGAAGCAACCATGGAATGCAAAATTTTTTGTAATTATGCTCTACTGCAATACCCCAAACAAAGTTTTAATTATTTTTTATATAGTAGAGCAGCAAATAAGTTGTCCCAAATTGATCATTAGTAAATATCAACTAATTATCATTTGCACTAAATAATTCAAGATATTGAATTATAATAATAAAATTTTATTTAAAGATTCACAACAAATAGGATCATAAAAAAAAACAATCTCTAGATAAGTGAATCTTCTTTTCTTATTAATCAATATTCTCCAATTCTAAATTTAAAAAATCTATTAAATGATATAAAAATTAATTAAAATGAATAATAGATATATAAAAAATAAATAAAATAATAAGATATATAAAATTTAATGCTTATCTTGCTACAAGGTAAAAGAGTACAAAATTGATCGGCCATGACTTCATAATCAAAGTTAAGTTGCATTTATCGAATTATATTTATTCTAAAACATGAAGAGAAATAATAATGATGATTAGAATTCATTAGCTCAATTTATTAACCATTTGTAATCGTAATTACGGGTCAAAAATACTAACAAAAGAATAATAATAATTTATTTTAATATTCAAATTCTTATTTCCTATTCTAGAAATAATAATTATCTTTAATAATAATGAATTTTTACTTGAAAAAAATTAAAACAAAACATCTCATAATTCAATAAAAACATCTTGTAACTGAGAGATTTGGTGCCTGAACGAGTCCAGAGGGCAAATTCGGACGGGCCACATTATCATATGTACTATGAATTAAGTGACATGGCGGACCCAGATTAATCTCCGGACGCTTCCGAACACCGCACAAAATAAATTTTCCCTTATAACTCCAAAGAAATCTGATCTATTCTATGCTAAAAAGCTTAGGGCATCGTCATCTATTTCCTTTTTTCCATAAAACAATATTCTCTTATATTTTAAAAAGAAATCCGAATCAATATATAATTTTTTTTTTTTTTTTGGGACATTTAGGCCATTTTAGGCAAACTCACACACACAACGCATACACATGGACTCGAATCTTGGACCTCTTAGTTGGAAGCCAAAGCTCTCAATCAATAGGCCAAGGGGAGTTGTGTAATCAATATATAATTCATTCGATCTCGGATTTCTGAAAGCACAATGAGCTGAATTTTCCTATCCATCAATCTGATCTCGAGCCCAAGATGTTGATAGATAAGGAAATCCATAAGAATCATGAAACGATAAGCCTATATCTTGCCACCTGGATGACCAAATCAACATCACTCAACCCAGTAGCCAATAAAAATCAAGTAAAAGATACGCATTAGATAAACCCTCCTCAATCTCAATCTCTTATCTGCAGCTACTAAGACTCACGAAACGATAGGCCTTTATCTTGCCACCTGGACAACAGAATCAACATCCACTCAACCCAGCACCCAATAAGAATCAAGTAAAAGATACGCATCAGATAAACCCTCCTCAATCCAATCTCAATCTCTTTTCCTTTTCACTTATTTAAACCATCTGCAGCTACTAACGCTCACCACTCATCAGCAACAACCGAAGCATTAACGACTCCCTCACACTCGACTCCAATGGCTGCCTCCACGATGGCCCTCTCTTCCCCCTCCCTCGCCGGCAAAGCCATCAAGCTCTCCCCATCCTCCTCCGCCACCCTCTTCGTGGGCCGAGTCACCATGCGGACCGGCAGGACCACGGGCAGGCCCCGCCCCTCATCTGGCAACCCGTGGTACGGTCCAGACCGCGTCAAATACCTCGGCCCATTCTCCGGCGAGCCACCCTCCTACCTCACAGGCGAGTTTCCCGGCGACTACGGCTGGGACACCGCCGGACTTTCGGCCGACCCCGAGACCTTCGCCAAAAACCGTGAGCTGGAAGTAATCCACTCACGTTGGGCCATGCTCGGCGCATTGGGCTGCGTATTCCCAGAATTCCTGGCACGCAACGGCGTCAAGTTCGGCGAGGCGGTTTGGTTCAAGGCTGGTGCACAAATCTTCAGCGACGGCGGGTTGGACTATTTGGGCAACCCGAGCTTGATCCACGCCCAAAGCATCCTCGCCATTTGGGCCGTCCAAGTGATTCTAATGGGCGCCGTCGAGGGCTACCGCATCGCCGGCGGACCACTTGGCGAAATCTCCGACCCGCTCTACCCGGGCCGCAGCTTCGACCCGTTGGGCTTGGCCGATGACCCGGAGGCATTCGCGGAGCTCAAGGTGAAGGAGCTTAAGAATGGAAGGCTGGCCATGTTCTCCATGTTCGGGTTCTTCGTGCAGGCCATCGTTACCGGCAAAGGCCCGTTGGAGAACCTCGCCGATCATATTGCTGACCCGATCAACAACAACGCATGGGCCTATGCGACTAACTTTGTTCCTGGGAAGTGAAGAACTTGATGGTGTCTGAATTTCGAATAAATAATTGTATTGGAGGTCATGGATGTAAATTAGGAATGTGCATTATGGTAAATTTATTTCTTGTTGTTTTAATTGCGAAGGAAAGCTTACCTTTTAGGAGAACCTTTGTGCTGTACTGTAGAGCTATGGGTAATTTTGTAAGGCTCCTTAATTACTTAAAACTCAGATCTTTTATTAAATATGTTGGCTTCAGTTAGTCTTAATTTCGTTTGAATTAAAGGAACATTAGTTTACAGTGCAACATTCTGATTAATTAATGCATAATAAGAGTAACTTCATTGCTAAATAGAGTTAATGAGAGATGTAAAGTATATTGTTATTTTATAATTAAGTTTAAGTGAATCCTTTTTTATGGAGATAAACTACAACATCATTTTTTTTAATAAAACCCACAACGTTAATATAAAAAGAAATTACAAGGACATTAAGAGAGATCTAAAACTCAATGCATGCTCATAGAGCAACAATAAAAAATAAAAATAAAAATCTATGGAGTCAAACATAGCTTACTAGATACATTAAGAAAAAGAGGAAGAGCACCAACAAACTAGAAATAAAATCCCAAAAACAAAGAAAATCAAGGCACTACCACCAAGAAAAATAAGCCACTAAGGCCAGCAAAACAAACACCCCAGAGACGAGAAAAAAACCCCAAACGAGAACAACATACCAAGACAAACAAGAAACAACCAACAAGACCCACATCAACATCAACTTTCCCTGATGTAAAAGAAAGCCATTAATGTCCAATCTCATCATGCCCTTAATCTAACGAAGTTTGTTCAAGTTAGAGTATTGAATAGAATTAGATATAGAAGTGCTTTTTTTTGGCCAACAAATCAACAATCAAGTTGCCTTCCCTTCATATAAGAGAAATCTTAAATGACAACTCCAACAATTGGATAATTTTCTTGAATAAATAGAATAGAGAAGCATTATTACAAGATTTCTTCATAATGAAAGAGGCGAGCTATTTAGAATCTGATTCGTCCATATATTCCACTAATGATTTTGAACACAAAGAAGAAGAGCATGGTGTAAAGCTTGCATCTCACCCATAATAACATTGTCCATGGGAATACGAGAAGTAAAAGCTAGAATGAAAGAACCTTTATTATTCAGAAAAATACCATCATCCCAGCAACATATTATCCACCAAGCCAAAAATATTAATTTTTATTTGATTAACCTCATGCTTACCCCAATGGAAGATGCAAGGGTAATGAATGATTTTATTGAAGCCAACTATAATTTTAAAGAAAGCAGACCAATAATCATTGTCCATAAGATGCTTAGGCTTTAAGAGATTCACATAAAAGAGTTACACTACAGGAAATCCCGCTATTACCGGCGGATTATATCCGCCGGTAACATGTGAAATCCGACGGAATTCTGAGTTTCCGGCGCACTTTCCGGCGGAATTTCGTCCGCCGGTTTGGTTCGCGTCGTAAAAGGACTACCGACGTAAACAAATCCGACGGAAACATTTCCAGCGGACTTTCCGGCGCAATTTCCGCTGGAAAAATATTTCCGTCAAAATTTTAATACGCCGGAAAACCAACAAAAAAAAAAAAATCTGTGAACGACCACAGGCCCCTGCCCCCCCTGCCCCCGCCCGTGGTGAACCGCGGACCTGCCCCCGCGTGAACCGCGGACCTGCCCGCCCGCGTGAACCACGGACTTGCCCGCCCGCGTGAACCGCGGAACTGCCCCCGCCTTCGGCGGGATTCGAACCCCCATTTTGTGCCGGAAATGTTGCCGCAAAATTTTCGTCGAACGATTCCGCCGTTGCCTGCGCCGTTATTACCGGCGCACAATTTTCCGCCGGAAAAATCTGACGGTAATCGCGTGTTTTCCGTAGTGTTAATGAATTTTCAATTGAAGAATAAGAATGATTCTATCAACATATATAATAATACCTTAATGCTTAATATTGTTCCTGTCATTCCATAAAAGCCAAAAAATGATTAAAGGAATAATCGTAATATGACTGTTAGGTTTATTAGAAAATCAAATATGGAGCATATCTAGATCATTATACATTTCACTTCTGAAATTAATGCTAGTTACAATAGACCAAACTCTAGATGCGATCGAGCTATCAATAAAAATATTGTGATTAATGAATTCCTCATTACTACAACATTGGCATTTAGAAGCTATTTCCTTTTAAACCTCATATCGACATGAATGAAACCTTTTATAAGCCTCCAATTAAATAAATAAATATCGGTAGGAGTGGAAGGTTTCAAATTTTTTCATAAATATATTTGACTTCCTTTTATCTCTTTAAAACTATCCCACACTTCTTTAAAATTGAAATCCCCATTAGAAGATTGCTTAAAGATAAGATGATTATAAGACAATAAATTAATAGGAATCTCACAAATAACATCAACAATAAAATTATGAATATGCTACAACAAAAGGTTTCTACTCCACCTATCAAATAACAAAAAATGGGAAACCTTGAGATATAGTATGTGTATTGGAAAAAAGCATCAAAGGAGTTAGATCCCATCCAATCATCTTGCAAAAAGTAAAATGAGCCATTACCAATACTCCATTGGAAGTGATGCTTCCCTATCCATTTGATTTTGCACAATCTAGCCCAAATAGAAGAATGACCCTTCTTAAAATAATATTGAGTAGGATGAATATTCTTACAATATTTAAACTTCATATACTTTGCCTATAAAGAGGTATTACTTCTAAACTTCCACTACAATTTGCAAGAAAAATATTTCACTATATCAGCTATAAATTTGCAACCCAAGCCATTTTCACTTAAAGGGCCACAATAAGAGTCCTAGAAAGCCCAATGGATCTTTTTAATATTCTTTGAAGAGCCGCCAAAAAAAAAAAAATAATAAGTTTGTCAAATCAAGCATAGACCTTCAAAGAAGGATTAAAAGCTTAAATAAATATATAGGAATAGAACATAAAATACTTTTAATGAAAACCAATCTAGCTTCCATAGAAAGCAAATTAAACTCCCATTTAGAAAATTTATGGAGTATATTAGAAAACATTTCATCAAATACAAAAGTTTTCTTACGACCTTTATAAAGAGGGATGCCCAAATAAAGAAGAGGAAGAGATTTGATCTTAAATCCAGTAATATTCCTAATCCTATTAATTTTATACCTAGTCATAACTTTACCAATAATAAAGGAGCTTTAATTATTATTAAAATAAAGACAGCTTTCAGAACAAATTTTCACCAAAAAGCGATTAATCATTTTAGCATTACTCAAATCACCATTGCAAAAGATAATAAAATCATTGGCAAAATAAAGGTGAGAAATCATAAAACTATCTTGGGAGAAGAGAAGTATATTTAGAAAGAATAATTTTAAGCCACGAAAGAGATATTCAACAATAATGATAAAAAGAGCAGGAGGCAAAGGGTCTCTCTGTCTAACTCTCTTATCAGCTTCGAAAAACCTATGCGATTTATTATTCACAATGATAGAGAGCCAAACATTTTTATTGATATTTTTAAAAGAAATGCACTGATCACTAAAACGAAAAAGCTTCAAAGCACTCAAATTAAAAGAGCAGTTAATGTAATCATAAGCTTTAGAAATTTCCAGTTTCATGATAATATTATACCACAAACTTTGACATTAATTTAGGTCGTGAATAAGCTCCTGGGCTAATAAAATGTTGTTAGTAAGGCACCTTCCCTTAACAAAAACCAATTTTATTATCATAGATAATTTTAGGAAGGATGAGACCAAATCTAGAAGCTATAATTTTAGAAATAATTTTGTGAGAAGTTATACATAAGCTAATAGGTCTAAAATCTTTCCAAATTTTTAGGATTAATGCATTTAGGAATAAGCACAATAGAAGTATTAGCAAAGAATTTTGGAATAGAATAACCATTAAAAAAGGCTATAATAGCCTTATAAAGGTCTCCTTTAATGATATTCCATCAACTTTGATAAACCTTAGAGGTAAATCCATCCGAGCCCACATCAAAATCCTTGTTTAAACACATAATCGTGCTGAGAATTTCATTATCATTTGGAATCTTAGATAAGATAAATTTATCCTCAGTAGAAATAATATGAGGATTAGAGACACCCTCAATGGTACAAGTAGATCCAATAATGGTTTGAAAGAGAGAGACATCAAAAGTGAAAATAATAAGTTGATCATCATACTAATCTCCATACTCTAATTTATTTTTTATATAAGAATTGTCTTTCTTTTTTTTTTCACAAGATTATGAAAGCAATTAAAATTTCTATCACCTTTAAATATGTCTTTAGAATTAGCTTTTTGATGCCACTAATCATCTTCTTTCCTTTGAAGATCAATCAGAAGATTTTTAGCATTAAGAAGATTAGTTTTGTTAAGATCAATGAAAAGGTTCTCCATTTTGATCACATCATGCATGGCTTTAATTGTTTTCAAAACTTTTGCCAAAGTTATTAAGTCTTGCTCTACCAGCGAAGCATTTATTTCAAATAATTGATTTTCAAAGAAAATAAGATAATGTTATTAGAGCCATTCTAATAATCCATGGGAGTTTTCGAATTGTTCTCCACCCTATTATGGAAATTAGGATGAAAAAGACATATATTTTGAAATAAAAAAGGGAACCCCCTAGGGATCTCAACAGTTTTAATATATATTAAAAAAGGAGCATGATCCAACCAAGTTATGCTTAGATGATTAACTTGGCTATTAAGAAAAAGATATAACCGATCATTGTTAAATAGAATTATATCCAATATTTTCCACAAGTTATAATTGGACCCATGATGTCGGATGGAGTGATAAATGGGCGACAAACAGGATGTGAGCTACATGAACTGACATCTAAAATAATAACCAAGAACTAGCTTCTTGGGAGGGTAACACCAGCTGATCTACTCAGGATATAGAACCCATAAATTAGAACCTAAACACCTTTATTATCTCTCCAATCTCTCTTTTATTACAAATGCTAGGTATTTATATAGACAACTTGGCTATTTACAAGGGCACATATTCATCTACAAAATAATAGAGATAGAGGAGGTGGGTTTGATTGGTTGAACCAATATGGATATATCCACCCGGTGTCATTCTCCTCATATAAGAGAGAATTCAATATATGCTAAAGTCGATGAAACATGCTTCTATTATGAGAATCCTCATGAATGCTAAGCTTGAGGTTCTTTGAAA